CGACCTCTCAGACTTCAGCCGCTACCCCTGACTCTTTTCCCCTTTAAACGCCTTTATTCCTATTCTGCCATCTGAAAACAGCGTAATCACTGCTTTCACTCGGCCGAACCAATCTCAGTTTTAGTAATTTTCTTTACATGGACTTAAGAGAATATGAAACTTTTTTTTTTAGATTTCTTGATGTTTATTTGAGCGAAGATGATGCTGCTGAATTTTTTTATTTTCTTACCTTTCGTACGTTCTGGAGTTGATTCATTATGAGAGACAGTCACTCACACATGCTGGCCTTTATTGTATTTTTAGTGCTTCATCTTTGGCTCGAAAAAACGAGACATTTCCGGAACTTTTTTGGAAAACCTGAGAGGGCGGGACACAGAAACGCTTAAGATTCACTCTGCTGTGACAACAATAAAGCATAAATTGTGTGTTGTCCTACCTAAAAATGCACTGCAGGGAGAAGTCACATCGAATGTTACTTATTGTAAAGCACTACTTGCGGTGGAGGAATTTTGTGCAACTGATGACAGCTGCTTTACTGTATAATTTATACAAAATTTTTAAGTTTCAGTGTTTCCCGAGAATTTGTGAGATCTCATCCTATAACATGCATTGAGCCGGGCATACATAGTATCGCATTCGTGTTCGACCTAGCTGGCACACTATTATAAACACTGTTTGCGCAAATCTAGGCTAGTTTCATTAGCAGTAATCTGACGGAGGCAACTGTTACTGGGGCGAGCTTAAAAGTGTGTAAGCACGGCCGGAGAATTGTGGCGTATTTCTTCACAAATAACCTCTCTTATTATATTTGCATAAATAAATCATTTAGCAGTACATTTAGCTGTCCAGGAGGCTTTTATTTGACAGTCTGATCCAATAATTCGAATGCATGAAGTGGCGGGAAGCGCAAGATCATAGTTGACGAAACGTTGCCAGCTACACGGGTAGAAATCCAGACTACGAATTAACTACTGCTTCAAGTATTCCAGGTATAAGATGCTTTCTATTACGGTGCACCATCTTGGCCTCTCAGGATCAGGGCCTGCTTATGCAACGTGAATTCCCTCTTCTGTATTAAAAGTGAAAATCGGGTAGAAACTAAAATGCTAACTTTCTTCCTGTAGTATTTGTATTCTGCTACAAAATACCAAAATTAAAAAACTAAAACTTGAAATCAGTTTAAAAAAAAAAGACCAAAACTCCTTCCATGTTCTTGTACATGGGAGGCGGTGATGCCCATATGAAATTTTAGTAGTAGCACATGCCACTGAAACCTCGTAAGGCTTTCGATGATTCGGACTTTCGAGGGTTGCTTAGAAGCAAGTCGATGGTAGCTTTGTCTGCCCGAACATGTCCTGGTAGCAGTTTACCACCATTGAAACGATTGGAAAGATTAAGTGCTTGATTGTTGCTCTGGTGGAGTCGAACCCCCTCCCTAAACCCCGCTTGTGTAAGAGCAGCGCTGTTTGCACTTCACTTCACTACCATCCCCTGGAATATGTGTTTTATAAACAATAGCCAAACAACGATGCGAAGCCGTCCAAGCTTGTTGTGCTGTTGAATGTTCGATGCCACTCCTCCATATGGCCCTTCCGTCCCTACACGCTATCTCAGACATCTTGAATTTCGGTGCCGCGATGGTCTGGGGTATTTACGGAACCCGTGGAATAGGATGGTATGTGCAGACTTTTGACCGTACGCTAGTGTCATGATCGATGAGTCACGGCTTTATTTTGCGCATTTGAGTTTCACTACATATGTGCTCTGTTCTGACGATAGGCATGACGCTGCGGGGTAGCACTGTTGTCGTGCAGTAGGTCGAATTGTTGACGATGCTGATGGGACAACCAATCCATTTACGATTTGTTTCGATGGTAAAGTGGTTCTGGCGCATGCACGCCAGTAAATCTCAAATGCTCTATCAGCTTGTTTGTAAGCAACCCGTGTGCTGTGGGAATATATGATGGCGTTCTCGGTGTTTCATACCTTGGCGATAACCAAATGGGCAGGAACATGTCCTCTGCGGTTCTTTGATGGTAAATTGGCACTTCGCAGCATGGCTCAGAGGCTCAGTTCTCGTCTTACCGCAGTCCAGTTGGCAGGCTCAAATCTCTCTTCCTTCCCTTTGCCTCGTTCAGTTTTGTTTCTTCGCACAATTTATCTCAAGGGCATTGAATTTGTCATTTTTTACTTAAAACTGTTGTTTTTTTGATGAGCGTTTGACAGATTTATTCGTAAGTTATAGGCATTGTCGTGACAGCGAGAACTGCTGAAGTCCTTTTTCAGAATGAGTTACTAGGACGATAAGTTTTGCACGGACGTTTAGGTAGCTTTTTCAAAAAAATTTCCCTAAAACTGTTCAGATTTTATTTTCTCCGTGCAGAAAAAAATACGTTATTTGTCAATTTATGTCCGTATATTTAAGACTGCAAGCAAGTAAACCACCAGACGACACGGCACCGGTCAGAGCAACCAGAAAAGTTGCTAGCTGCTTAGCTAAAAAACCGTGAACCGAGAGGTCCAATTGAATCTGTTTTCGAGAAGTAAGGTGCAACCAACATAGGATGATTTTGCTTTCAGTCCTAGCT